GGGGGGTGGGGGCAGGAAGGGGGATAATCATGACTGGTCATCGACAGGGGACGCAATCCTCCTATATTATGGTAGAAAACACAAAGTTATTTTGAGAGAGAGAGAGAGAGAGAGACAGAGACAGAGACAGAGACAGAGACAGAGACAGAGACAGAGACAGAGACAGAAAGATTTTAGATGTAAAAAAGGGGAAGCGGGGATCCTCGCTTTGTTAACATGAAATTCAATCGAACAAAGACGGTTTATGGGGAAATAGTAGTCATAACAGACACCTTCGATTAGTTATGGTTTGGTTGTTTTAACTCATGTTCAGGACACACGTGTCTTTGTTTGAGCACCGTGCCTTCGCAGCTGTTGATATGGAAAACATTTCTGTGTCTTTTTACAGCTTTGATTATCGGCTTGCAAAGTGTCGACATTAAATTGTGGGTAGTTGGCGGGTGCCCTGGTATGGTTCACTCCTTCTATCCTATCAAAACATCTGTCGTCCTTATCTCTCCTCCTCCTTTTTTGAGTTTGTTACTCTCTTGTTACACCTTTAATCTTCGTTACTAATATGACATAACTGCGTTACACATGTTGTAAAACTCGTACTTAAATAAAAAGACCTTAAAACAGTCAAACCTTACTGAACGTAAAGAATAAAAGACGCCATTTTTTATACGTGTTTGGATGCTGGTTATTGCTATGAGATCTTAAACCAGGAGATTAATATGGCCATCATAGAATTATTTGGTACTTTTTAGGACTAGATCTATATCCAGCCAGTTTTTTAATCGTTCTCAGATTGAAAGTGATCATCATAAGTAAACAGGTGCTTATTCCTATAGGCAGTACAAATGTTGGTGAAGTGTGTGCCACTTAAACAACAACAACAAAATTAGATGAAATATTTACCCGACTTTGCTCTCTCTCTCTCTCTCTCTCTCTCTCTCTCTCTCTCACACACACACACACACACACACACACACACACACTCTCTCTCTTTCTCTCTCTCTAGCTCTCGGTCTCTATCTGTCTATCTATCTATCTATCTATCTATCTATCTATCTATCTATCTATCTATCTATCTATCTCTATCTATCTATCATCTATCTGTCTATCTACCTCTCTCTTTCTCTCTCTCTCTCTTGTTCTTTCTTTCTTTCTTTCTCTTTTTATTTATTTATTCCTTTCTTTTATACTTTCTTTCTTGCATACTATATCTATCTATGTATGTATGTATGTATCTATCTATCTATCTATCTATCTATCTATCTATCTATCTATCTATCTATCTATTTATCTATCTCAGCCTCTATTTATCACTTTTGTATGTGGGCCTGTGCATAGAAGTGTTTGTCTTTACGTAATCATGTGTATGTTAAGTGTGAGTGTTAGTGATACTGCTTGTATGTCAGTATGTATGTGTGTGTGTGTGTGTGTGTGTGTGAGAGAGAGAGAAAGAGACAGAGAGAGAGAGAGAGAGAGAGAGAGAGAGAATATTATGACTGACTACCTCCCTTCTTTCTCCTACCCGTCTCCCTCCGTCGTACCTGTCGCTTTCATCTTTTCTTTTCTTCCTCTTTGAATTATCTCACATATGTTCTTCATTCTCTTTTCTCCCCTTTCTCCTACTCATTCATCTCTGTTCCCACCTACTTTTACTCATCCTTCCCCTCCTTGACTTCTTCCTCTTTCTCTCCGCTCCTCTTCCTCCTCTCCATCATCATCATCATCATCATCATCATCATCATCATCATCATCATCATCATCATCATCATCATCATCGTCATCATTGCCATCCCCTCCCTCTGTATGCTCACCCTCCTCAATCTGCCACCGGAGCCCTGGTCTCTTCCTCTTCCTTCCCTCGTCACCATCTCCAACTCCTCCTCCTCCATCCTTCACCTCCTCCTTCTCATCATCATCATCAGCAGCAGCAGCATCATCATCATCATCATCATCATCATCATCATCATCATCATCATCATCATCATCA